AACCCTTAACCTAACCCTAAACCTAACCCTTAACCTAACCCTAAACCTAACCCTTAACCTAACCCTAAACCTAACCCTTACCTTAAGTTAAATCGGTTTTCTTTCGAACGCGCTATTGTAAAGCGCCCTTCTTTCTCCGTGCTGGCTGTTGTCGCCGTGTTGATGATGTCAACGACGCGGTTTAGTCGGGCGCAGTTTTGTCGTTCGCCCTTTTGTCGGGTCACGTCTTTCTACCTTGGCAACTTTAAGATGGGTGGACTTCAACATCTATGCTGGCTGGGGAATTCTGGGAGTTGAAGTTCACGCATCTTAAATTTTCCAAGGTAAAGAAACACTGATTTGCAGTGACTGGTGTCCTGTTCTTCGGAGTTATTCTACTTCCCAAAACACTCCTTATGTTCCCACCTAAAAATATACTCCATCATTATATTAAACAAACTCTTAAACTCTCAATCTGAATTCTTCCCTCTTAGCTGTCTTCCAGTGACGAGCTGAAGCTTATGTCCTTAAAGGAGATTTATCATAAGAAACAGAAGGAAGACAAGCAACTTGTAGAGTGGGATTTCACTCCTCTCCACTCCACTCATCCCCCAGAGGTAATAACTTGTTTTCCCCTTCTATTCTATCCTATTATATTCGCCCTTAATAGGGTCTTGCCTTATTTTTAATTCCAATCACCGCAACGTTTCTTTCACAGATCCTTACGCTCGACCCAACGCTCCACATGAAACCGAGCGAGCGGAACGCGGGGCGGCCTTTGCCTAGGTTCTACGCCAGCCCAGAGCCGGCACCGTTTTCTCCCGATTCCATGGCAGGTCCTGCTTTTTCGCTTCCTTCGGAGGCGGATTCCTTTTCTCCCACGAGCACGGTGGTGTCCCCTCGCTCCGCCGAGTCTCCCCGATACGCCCCTCGCTCAGCAGCGGCCTTGCATGTGGGTCCCTGGGGCGCTTGTGAATTTCAGAACGCAGCCAACGTCGCTGGCTCTCCTCATCGAGACCGTGAGATTTTGGACATGGGTGACAACGACAACTTAACCCTCACACCATCTTCCGAAGCCCGATCCCCGATTCCGTCGGCTGATAATCGTTTGACGCAGCAGGAACTTTCCGTGCCTTGCGTGGAAGATCCCCTGGTGCTCTCCAAGTAAGATCACCCGTTCAGAATGTTGCTATCAGGGTTCCAAGTAGCAGGATTGTTGTGGCCAGCCAGCAGAGCCGGCAGCAGTGAGGAGGGTTGGGGAGGATCCTGGGCCAGTCCTGGAGTCTGGGGAAGGCTCGGATGAGGGCTCTGTGTCAGGGGCAGAGAGGAGGCCAGGGACGTCTTGACAGTTATCAGCTGCCTCCAAAGTCAGACATCACTAAGGCAGAAGAACAGCTGGAGCCTGTTCTCAGTGTGCGCATGCGCAGAGTTGCCAGACGAAGGGAACGGCTTAAGAACAGGGGTCGACTTGGGAGTGAGGCCACAGGTGGACGGTGAATGGCCCCTCCCAGAGGAAATAAGAGAGGAGTGAAAGGGGAGTGGAGTTTGCAGGAGACCATTAGTTCCCTTCATTGGTTCGTGACTCTCTGGGACTCCTTGCCAAGTTCTGCAGATATCG